ATTCATGCATGGATACTACTAGAAAAACCACAGAAATTCATTCTTGAGTTACTTGAATAGTATTTTATACTGAAGTTAATTTCTTAGTATGCTACAGTTATGTACAATTATAACAGTACAGGAAGCTGGGGGCAGACATTACATAAAAGTCTGTACTGGTTTTGTAATTTTTTGTAAGTATGGAATGATTTGGAAATCAAAAGAATCAAAATAGAAAAAAATTCTCTTATGCATATGAATTTCAAATAATTTATGTAGATACTTGAAGAGGTGGAGCATAATTTCACACTTCTGAAATGTGGGCTCTGAGGACAAAATTCCTTGCAAAGAGCACACTATGGGAGAAGGGAAACAAAGAGGAAATTTACTCCTGAGAAACTAGACAGATGTTAACTCATGAAGACCATCAAGGTTAACACCATGAGGTATGATGTTGACAGTGCATTCCTTTGCAGGCTCAACCAGAATCGATTCAACCTCTGCCATCTTCCTCTGTAAAGTGCATGATCCATCTACTTAGAAAAAAATAGTACCCAGACAAATCCCAGGTAAGGAATGTTCTACAAAATACCTGGCTAGCATTCTTCAGTACTATGAAGGACATCAAAAATAGGCAAAAACAAAGCAAAAAAACACCATTACTAACAGAAGCTACATAATGGAAAAATTAACTCTAATATACCATCTTGCTCAGATCCTTGGAAAAGAAAAATAACTAAATGGGAAACTAAAGACATCAAAATGAAGTGTGGGCCTTAACGAATATCTAACTTTATTAATTATAACAAAGATAACAACTTTTACTTACAGTACTGTGCCACTGTATTCTCACACTACTATAAGATGCTCATAATAAGCGAAACTGTGTTCAGTATTCATGGGAACGTCACAATTGTCACAGATTTCTAAAAATCTAAAGTGGTTATAGAATAGACTTTTAAAATAAAGAACTATGTATTACATGATTCCATTTGTGTGATTTCCTGAAGTAGTAAAATTGTAAGTGGTTGCTAGGGGTGTGGGCACTGTGGTGGGGTCTTAGAGTGGCATGCTTGTGGGGCTGCACAACTGGACATGCTGACTGAGGCAGTAATTACAGAAAGCCACACACGTGACAGAATCACATACATCTTCATATAAAATCACGGACACCCACATCAGTCGCACTCACAAGTTGGGGCGGGCATGTGACTGAGCTCTGTGGATTTAGCATGTCAGGTTTACACTGTAGGTGCTGTGCTGTGTGTCTGTGGGGCACTGACATGGGAAAGGGCTGAGAAGGGCCTGTCTGGAGCATCCTTGAGCATTCCTTTGCAAGCACTCTTGACTCTATCCCTATTTCATAATAAAAGTTCCATTCATCTTTGAGAAACTGAAGATCTTCTGAGGCATCACATGTCAAATAACTGAGCAAATTTTGTTAGCAGGGATATGCTACAGAACCTCATTTCTGTCTGGTTTTGGTTCTACATTTTTGTCTGATCTGTCCTGACAAGGTGCTATAATGGTTGTTTAGTTTGAGAATAGATTAAGAGGTATTTAGAATTCAGAGTATTGCTGAGTAAAATGTTTGTTTGTATGTGTGTGTGTGTGTGCACACGCGTGCACGCGCGCCCACACATGTATTTGATTATGTGCTTGTGTGTTGCTGGATTAAAACTGGCAGTTTCAGGAGCAAAGCAGCCTCCAAGGTCTGAGAAGGCAGAAAAGTTAGGAGACCTTGGTCTAGGAGTTGACCACGTTTTTCAAGGATCTACATTAGATTTTCTTTCTGTGTGTCTTATCTGTCTCTCTCTGTGTGTGTCTCTCCTTTTTCTTTGTTTCTGTTATTTATGTGAGAATGAGAAAAAAAGATGTCATCTTGAGGCAGACATCCCAGCAAGGCATATAGCTTGGTGAGGATAATCTAGGCTGGGTTTCAACTCCATTTTCTTTTCAGCAAGGTTTCCTTGTGTAGGGAGTAGCCTGTAACTTTATGTGGCAGGCACTGACTGATAATTACACACCAGTGAATAGGGAATTAATGAGGGCAGTTAGTGAGTGAGTGGTACAAGAAGAGATGATTGTGGGTTGTGGCCACAAGACTTCTGAGAGGAGCTGAAGTTTGAATAAAGCCATAAAGATAATTAGAATTTAGAGAGGCAGTAATGGAGAGAGAATAATCATTATCTAGGTAGGGTAGCTTGAACAGATTTCAATGGTGCAGGCTTGGTGGCACTTATCTGTAATCTTAGTGCTATGGAGGCTGAGGCAGGAGGATTTCAACAAAAATCAAAACCCAAACAAGAAGCCTAAAGGAGCCTATGTTTTCCTTATTCATCTTTATGGATCTGATACCTGGCAATGTGTTATCAATGAAAGAGGGGAAGCAGGAAAAGATGGAAAGAGTGTGGCCTCAAATATATGTCTTCATCATGTTTTTGCCATGACGTCTTCCTATCTATCAGGATCTGCTGCTGAGATAACAACTCAGAATGTCACTGGCTTCACAAAGACTGTGAGGCACGAAGTTGAGAATTAAAGGTAGGGCATAGTGAGAAGGTACAAAGACGTTAAGAAGCTCTCCTGGTATTAGAGGAGGCTGCTTGCTCGCTAGTAGAGGACGCTGCACACCTCACCATGTTCTCCTTCCCATTTGATTAAGCAGGAGGGTGATAACCTCAGGACAATTTACTCCCTGGGACAAAACTCTTTAGTGACCAAGTAAGAATATACCCCATCGCATCTTACTCTGATGCATTGTCTACTGAAAAGAAGCTAATTACATTTTAAAATATCAAGCTTAATAAGAGAAAGTGTGTGGTTTCTGTTTGAAGATTTTAACATTTCTCATTTGGTGCAGCCCGGCTTTACCATATGTGGATGTGAATAACACTTTGGAACTAGTTTTTCCTCTAATTTCATCTTAGAAATTAAAAGCTTTCATGACAAGAAAGTATATTGTCACAGTTTTATATGAACTAAAAATCTGACAAAAGAGAACTGAAAATCTGGATATTGACATTTCCCACAAAAATCAGTGTTGGCATTAGCAGTAGAGATGTGCAGCACTGTGTGGAATCCCTTCCATTCTCCACCCATCACAGCCACTGCTTTTCTCATCTGATCTAAAAAGAGCCTGTTAGGGCCAGGGCCCATCCTTCACTTCGGCAAAGCACACTGTCCCATTCCTGGGTTCATGATACGTAGGTTTTTAAGGTGGGGACAAATTTCTGACATCTCTGTCTTTTTGTACCCTAATATAGGTTGATAGGGTGGTTCATCCTCATCCTGTCAGAGGACATATCTTGACTTCAAAAGCACAGGAGGAAAAAAAATAAAAAAATATGTTCTTCAGTTAGATGTGCTGGTGCCCACCTGTAATCCCAGGGCTTCCATGGCTGAGGCAAGATGATGGCTGTGAGTTTGAAGCCATCTCAGGTTACACAATTAATCTCCACCTCAAAGCAGGCAAGTAAAAGATCAGAAACAGCACCACTGACAACCCCCCAAAACTATGTTCTTTCTGGCCTTGACCTTAACAATGCTCAGAGATGAGAGAGAGAGAGAGAGAGAGAGAGAGAGAGAGAGAGAGAGAGAGCTGTAAGGCCTTCGAAGAGCCTGACTTCTTCTTAAAGATGGAAAAATAAATCCTTGGCTCTGGAACTCAGATTCTTCTTGGCTGGTGAAAGGAGGTGGTGACTAATCTAAGAAAATTAAAATATGACTTCTAGAAAAGTTATAAATCATGTATTGCTTCCACTTGTCTATTCGTAGACTGAGATTCATCCCAACCACAGATACAGACATATGATACTCTCTTGAGAACCACTGTGAGCACACTGTTGCCTGAACAAAAACCTTGGAGTTGAGACAAAGAGAGGCTTTTACTCCTGTTTGAGAAGCTGGTAGGAAGGCTTGAGGGAGACTCCCAGACATCACTACTGACTTTGGAAACACCAACCCATGAATGGGAATTAGAAAGAAAGATTATCATTTAGTGTTTCCTGGTTTAATTCAAGAGAGTCCACAGAGAAGAGGAAGAACAAATTGATGGGAACTTTGCAAGTCCTGGGCCCTCAAGGTTCAATGCTATGTCAACTCTGTGTGTCAGCTTCTGGAAGCTTCCACACGCCCCACCCCAACACTCTTACTTTCTGTGGGTGCTCTAAAAACCGCAAGCCAGAGTAAATGTCATATGGGGTCATCCAGCCTGGGGAGGATGTGGGAAGCTGCTCATAACCTTTCGTATCTGTCTTGTTGGCTTTAGAACACGCAGTCTTCGACGATGAGAGAAAGAAGGCAAAAAACAAAAACCAAAACCATTATGCTTGTATGTTTACAAACAAGACAAAAGCACAGACTGCACTCTACAGTCTTCCAAATACAAAGTGAAAACTGGGAACAGAAAAGGGGGCAAGCAAAACTAGGTGTGTTCACATTTTTCTTTGAGACACTACCATCCTTATGCCCTTTGTCATGCTGCTGAGAAGTGCTAGTTTGTTGGTCAAATGTAAACCACATAGTTCTTTCAGAACAAAGGTATTCAGTGTAGGCAATGGTAGGTGATCAGTAACTGGCATTTATTACAAAGGCCTTCTCTCCTATCCCTGTAGCAGCACTTCAGAGTCTAGACAGGGACCTTTTCTTCAGGAATATGAATGAAACTATAGAAAATTTGGGATGAGAGCTTCATTTCCATCCATATGTTTTTTTTCTAAATCTGTAGGCTAAGATACATCTCCAACATGCCGAGATCTATGCAACAGGAAATCTGCAGTGCCATCAATCAACTCTGCAAGATATCCAGGTAGAAAAGCATTTTCTGAATATAACCCTTCTAATTGGACTCAAATTTTGTCTATAGTGTGTTTCCCAGAGACAAAAGATGGGTTAAGATTTTGTCAATGATTGTGTATCCACTTGGTGTGAGAAGAGACCCTCAAATGCTATTAAACTGCTTACTAATGTGAACCAGATGGAAAATAAAACAAAAGAATTCACAACTCATGTTAGACTGAATTGAATGTCTTTAATTTCACACAATGAATAACATATGAATAGGATCAACTTTTTTTTTTTTAATAGTTAAGTGCTCTGTACTGTGCTAACCTGATCTGGTAGCGAAAGAGACTGAGCTTTCTTTTAGAAAAAAATGTTTAAAACCCAACATCTAAGACCATGGGAGAGCATGACAGTAAAGCATGCCAGATGTCGCTACGCCTCAAATGACAGCAAGTCCATGTTCATTTAAATGTACAAAAATGCTTTATGAATAAAAACTGTTACAAAAAGAACATTTCAAACAATGTACAATTTTCTTGCCTCTATATTCAATAAAATACAAATACATTTTTGTTCTAAAATATGTTTACATACAATCAAAGTAGAACATGCAAATTACACTTTAAAAAAGGCTTTTAAAAACCACTTATGAATACAAACTAAAAATTAGCCAGAAGGACTTGTAAGACAATCTTGTGCCCATTTTTTTGAAATATATATGTACATATTTAACACATCATGTGCATTTATTATTATTTAAGAAATAGATTTCTTTTTTTAAAAAAGGAAGAAAAAGAAAGACACCAATCCAGGGCAGAACTACCCTTACAAGTTGACCAATTGGCAGCTCTTCGATTTCTCCCTCTTTAGTGTTTATTATACCTGGGCAAGTGGGAGACAGATATCCAGGAAGTTTCTTCCTTGGTTGATATGTGCTTCTATGACTGTTCCCCAAGTGACTGAGTCCAACAGGGAAGGCAGGCTCCTCAGTGGGGTGAACTCTCTTAGAAACACGAGGCAGAAGGAGCCTTGCTTTGTGAAAAGAAACGTGAAGAAACACCAAGAAGATGCTACAGTATATTACAGTTTGAGTTTCTAGGCACTGTGATGACATTATCTGTAAGCGCTGGCATTTGGACCATTGTGATACGATAGGGTAGGGTTGAGAAAAATGTCTATATTTATGTACTTTTACATAATGAGTAGGACTGAGAATCCTGCGACATAACACTTAAATGGCTTTTGAGGCATTTCGGCTCCTGCCACTCCTTCTCTATGCTACAGTTGGCATTTAAAGGCTTTGGAAATATCTGTATAGTCTTTAGACAGTTCCCAGGTCAACCTTCCTAGTGTCAGGGAAAAATACACTCCACAAGCTCATTATCTCAATATTGTTGAGTAACAAGCCAGGAGTGAGATTTGCTACTTAAGTCCTAAAACCAAATCCTTTATGATCTGCTTATAATATATCACCTTATACAATAATTCTGTCACCACTTGCTTATCATATTTATAGATACAGCAATGTGCAGAACACAAATTTTGACTGCCATTGAACATGGCCTCCCCCTGCAGACAGCGGCCAAGTTAATGCACTAATCTATTGCCAGCCCTTAGTCACCTTTGCTAGGCTGCCAGTGACTGCTGAGTTCTGGTCCTGCCAAGTCACAAAGCAATCCTACAAGCTTTCCCTTCCTCTGACCTTTCTTCCTTGGCAGGTAGCCACAGCTGGGCTATTTGAAGAAGTTAAACTTCTGTTCCTCTCATTTGAGATGAGGGGTCGAAAAGCAAATGGCTTTCTAGTCCCTTAGTAAGGTGGATTAAAGACCATCAGCTCCTCCAAGGAGCTTTTGCATCTAGGTTTTACCTTCTCATCTCCAATTGGTCTCATACTGTAAGTGGATCTCTGCCTACTTGCTGAAGGAGTACTCCAAAAAGAAAAGAAGAAAAAATAGAAATTTAAAGCAAAGGATCATTACAAAATGTTTTGTGGGCCTGTAAATGGAGTCTTGAGGATCCTAAATGACCCCTCTCAAAATAGAAGTGCATCCCTGGAAGGCAGTGTTGTGTGGTTAAGAACCTCCATACTTTGAATCAAGAGCTGGGTTCTCTTCCTGGCTCTAAAACCAACTAGCTGTGGAAATTGAACTGCTTCATGGAGGGGCCTGGGCAGCAGAGGAAAGGCTAGAGGAGTTATTAGGGAATACAGACATAGTTGTATCAATGAGATAAACTTAAGTTCACGAAAAACAAGAGGAAAAAAGTGTGCAACTGTGAGGGAGTTCTTGGGTGGTGGGAGCCTCTGCGTGGCTGAGTGGCTCCTTCCACTGTCAGCTGCTGTTCTCATGGCTCTCTTTGGTCCTCTAGTTTTCCAAACAGTACTCAGAGTTTGCACTCAGGGATTTGCATTTGAGTCACATTTAACTGACAGAAAATAACGCACCCTAATTCATTAAGTTGTTAAGTTGCAGGGTCATTGTATCTCTCCTGGGATCTTTTTATTGGGTTGGAAATTCTAACCAAAGCTTGTTTTGAGCTAATCACCTATTTCAGGTTAATCCAATTAAATGATGGATCTCCCTTGAGGTTTATTAAGCACCAGCTCTCTCCTCTATAGGAAGGGTTAGACTGCTTATAGACTTGCTTGGGAGATTGTACACCACAAGAAGGAGGAAAGAAAGTAACAGTTTTCAAAGTCTAACAGGAAGAGAACCCTCTTTATGGCTTAATTGGAATGGAAATGGCTGCTCTTTTGAAGGAATGGTTAGGGGAAAGGGGCTGATCTATACCTTCCTCCCCTTGACTTTGGAGCTACTCAGCCATGGCTCCTTAGTGACAGATTGAAAATGGCTGTTTAGATTTCGATGTTCAAATTGTGTGAAATGCCATAGGTCAACCCAGGTCACAAACTGAGTATCTCAGATAAAAGCTTGAAATAAGCACAGTCCTTTAAACTTACGTATTGCTAGGATTAAAAGAGACTGACCGAGCAGGCTGCAAAAAGACGTGAAGTCCATTCCTACAGTGCAGAATAGGATGGCTCTGTAATTCCAAGCAACTGTTGTGCCAGGACACAGCGGTGATATTTACAAGCATATTAACTTGGGAATTTCAAATTTCCTTTAGTAGATACTACTCACATGTTCATTTATGTTCCCCCAAAAGAGCCATCTCTCTCTGAGGAGGAGATACTATGTTCTGAAGTGATAATGCAGTTTCCTAGCTGGTCCCAACTTTCTGTAAAGAACTGAATTTGGAGGTAAACCAGATATCCAAATTCCCCTTAGAAAATGAAACTCTCTGTGTCTCTCTTTATATAAGCTATGATGCCAGGTATTTGATGTCTTGAAGAAGTTAAGGGGAGGAGTAAGGGAGAAAGTTGAAAATACTTATTTGAAATTTCCACATCTGACTTTTTAAAACATCTACGGCAGCGGGATAAGTCCGAACTCAGGCTTTGGAAATGGATGATAGACGGAACATCTGTCCACACTAAACCAGAGGCTAGAGTACAACTTGGATGAGAAATGTACAGTTGAAACTGACCATTTAAAAGACGATTTGTCACACACAGTTTGCATCCATGCAGACTGATAGGTTTATAATTACATTATGTACAGCAATGTTTTAGTGTATTAAGGCAACCACAATTTGGATACTTTGTCCAAGGTGGCTTGATACAATTGGAGTGGCGATACCCTTTCAATACTTTTATTTTATTTTTTAGATAAGAACACTTACTCCCCTTCACTTTTAAGAAATAATTATTAAAAGATAATGGACCTTTACTGTCTTTGTTTCTGTTCCTTAACAACCTAGACAGCTCTTTGCATGAAAATAATCAGGTACCAAGGCATTGCTAGATGGTTTTCTTTCTGATGGGCATGGGATTTCGATTTTTGGTGGCTTATCAGTTATTCCACTTGCTGTGGGGTATTAAAACCGTTTTATCCTGCCTATTCTCCACTGATATGTTTTAAGTATAAAAATAACCTGGCTGATGCCTGGGTCAACATATCCCTTGGCTGCTCTGAGTCACTTATTAAAAAGCTTCTATCTATACTGAGTATGTTTCCCAGTGGTTGAGATTCAAAGCCGATTCCTTGAGGCAGGACGCCAAGAGCACACTTCACAACGTGGGTCAAGTTCACATTGTTTAGACGTGTACCACAAAATAGAAGGCAGCAAGTTAACGGGGAATACATGAAAAATACAACGCGAAAGAAAAGCAGAACAGACAATGCAAAGTCAGTGTACGAGACAGGAACACGCGCAGATCTAAGGTCGCCTATCAGTCCAGTTCCACCTACTGATCACAAGATCCCATCTGAGCAACTGTGTTGTTAACGGAAAGATGCATCTCTTGGGTCACTTGAAGATGATGTGGGTGCCCCAAAGCCTAGCCGAGTTTGCAAACCGAAGGAAATAAAAAACCAATTACGTGGAAGTGGCTTACAACAAGCCAGCTGGTAAATTTGCAGCTTTGCTCCCCCTTGGAATGTTTGCTAACGGTGTTTCCCATTTAATTTTTCTGACCAGCAAATGAAATCGGAATCAAGGGCACACCTGGGATGGGGAGGGTCAGGTGGCCATCACAGAGCACCAGCTTTGGGCTCCTCCTCCATCTTCTGCAGCTCGTGAGGATCCGGCCACGTGGAGTGGCGCTGGGTTGGGAATCGCTGTACAGCAGAGACAGCTGCCTTTTTTTTGGGGGGGGGGGGGGGGGGGGCCCTGTGCCCTCGCTACCCAAGAGCTCCCCACAGCTCCACCCGCCCTCTGCCCATCCTGCCCACCCGCTGCAGAGAGGGGCGGGGTGTCCCAGTGGCTGGGCATCGGGCCCACCAGGCTGCTGCGCTCCCCCGCATCAGTCCCTGCCCGGATCCCGCCACCCAGGCCCGCCCTAGGGAAGGACATCGCTCTCGCTGGCGCGCGACTTCCTCGGCCTTTTGGCCTTCACTTCCTCTTCCTGGGGAAGAGGCTGCGGCGGGGGCTGCGCGGGCTGCGCTGGGGGCTGCGGTTTGTGTTTCCTCTTCCCGCCGCCGCGCGCGGTCTTGGGCAGCGGCGGGGGCGGCGGGGGCGGAGGCGGGGGCGGCGGCAGCGGTGGGGGCGGGGGCGGGGGCAGCGGGGGCGCCTCCCGCGCCATGTGGATGACCGCCTCGATGGTGGCCATCACTGCATCCTGGCCCGCGGCCGGTTCCAGCGCAAGGGGGCTCAGGCTGGGCTTCTGGCCTCTCTTGCTGGGTAGGTCGATGCACTTTTCCAGCACCGGCATTTGGTCTCTGGAGTCCTCATCGAACTGGGTGGGCTGCTTCCGAGGCCGACCTCGCCTCTTCTTGACAAAGTTGTTGCCCGTCTTTGATTGTCTCTGCAGCCGCTTGGCCTTCAGGATCTTGTTCACGTGGTCCAGGTTCTTCTTGGTGGACAGAAGCTTGGTGTAATGGCACATCTTCCGCACTTCGCACTGGATGGCTTCGATCTCCCGCCTCTTGAATCGCTTCTTCAGGGAGGAACTGGCTGCAGAAGACAAGAAGGGACAGGTTGAGCTGAGCATGCAGTGCCCTCCATATATTGTTAAATAGAAAATAATAAAAACAAACTTTGGCTGACTCTGTCATGTGTACAAAACATTATTTACATTATTTTTCCTCACCGCCATGTAACACACTGTGATTGGCATTTTATTTCGCGGTATATTTTGAAACAAGAGTCTCCGTAAGTAGGGCAGGTTGTCCTTGAACTTTGGGATCCTTTTGCCTTGGTGTTGCAGAATGCTAGGAAATGAGGCTTTTACAGCCACACCTGACTCCCTCCTCCCACCTCTAATTTAAAGATAAGAAAACCGAGGCTGAAATCTTCCTGGATTCTTAGAAGCAGTGAAAGAAAGCACCATATGAGCTTCCTATTTCTTTTTAATTTAGCCCTTTGACGTTTGACCCAGTCCAATTAAGCATTAGTGGATACTTTCCCTTTGTCTGACCTTGAGCTATTACACACAGCCCACCCACCTCATTCAACTGGATCGTACAGTGAGGGGGTTGTGTCTGAACACTCTGGTAGGGATGGTGTGGTCTCTTAATATTTTCCCGCCAGTGTTCTGGAGCTGTCAAGTTTCCTGATGATGCCCAATTAAGCAAGTTCTTCCTAGCCTTCACCCTCTGGGAACCTCAGGGGCAATATCCGCCAGGTGTTTCTCAGTGGTTTACACCCCCTCACTGAATCGTTGTTTGCAAAGGGCCTTTTCATGTGCTGCTGGCCAGATGCGCCTCTGTTTTACGAGCCTAACTTCTCAGGAAGTTCTGCACTGTGCCACTAAATGGCCTTCAGAACTGCTTCGTTTTGAAGTTCAGACACCATAAAGTGTGAATGGCTTCAAGACATAGCCAGTCCTTCACCTCAGATCATTCTCCTGTTGTAGTCTGTGAGCAGGCACATATGCATGTGATACCTGTGTACTGGCAAACATGCCTCCGTACCTGTGTATGTGTGCGTGTGTGTCTGTACACACACACAGGCACACTGTCCATCCTCCATGCTGGCCACTAGTTGTTTGCAGACTTAAGCGTCTCCTCATTGAATTCTTTGTTCTGTGATTTGCCCCAAAGAAGCCCACTTAAAAGACTAAACTCTAAAGGGAACATATTTTATTTTACTAGGTTGTTTTCTTGTGTGTTCCCATTATTATTTTTTTCATCTATTAGTTGCAAGAATAAATATCTTAAGGGAGAGAGGAAAAATATACTTAACACTTGGCCACCACTCTCACTATCCTTGAGTACTCCCACTTCATTCTTTCCATGTTGCCCCACTTCTCCCTCATGCTGTGGCCCATCACAGACTTCCAGGAGGGTTTTATTTGAAGTTATTTATGTGACTAGCTTCATGGAGTGGGAAGCGCTGAGTTCCATAGGCCAGGTCAAACGGCCACTGCTTTTAGCCAAAGGTCGGCTAGACTGACTGAGCAATGAATAACTACTGAGAGATCTTTAAAATAAGTTATAAAGATCAAAATAGAACAAAGCCAGAGTGAGATTCTGACTATAAAAATAAAACTTTTGTAGTTAGTCTTGTAAAAAGAAAAGGTGGCTCAATTATCAGTTCTCGTGTGGCTTTATGTAGCTCACGGGGCCTCGCATGGTGCCTCATGAATGGACAGGATTGAAAGTTGCTTCCTCAATGGCAAATCAGACTAAGCCTCACTGCCTTCTAGCTGCATCTTGACAGTGTTCTAGTTTGGATTATGAAGGCAACAGTTGCAAGTACAAAGCAAGGAGGAATTAGTTCTCAGGCCTTGCTGAAGACAAGCAATGTGCTTTGTTCATAGAGATTCGGAGTAAACCAAAATAGTTAGAAATATGGCACAAAACTTTGGGCATCATTTAAAATACAGAATCCACGTGCAGTTTTCCCTCTATCAAGGGACTACCTGATCTACAAGTCACAATATAAAGGTATGAATTGTACAGATTTACAGCACAGCAAGGCATAAATAAATATAAGGTAATTTTATTACTTGTACTATCTAACTGGGTAAAGCTTGACAGAAATGCTTTCATGAGCTAGACGCTCATATGGGGATTAATATAATCATTAGATGGCACCTCTTATCTTTCAGAGCAAAAGGCCAAAAATACATAAATAAGTAAACAAATAAGTAAGTAAATAAATCTCCAAACTAAACTCAAAGCAACCCAAACCCCATCATATCATATATTTTTTTTTACATGTCACATATTTTTTGATCCAATCCTTGTACTGAAAATAGTTATGGAATAATTATGACAGTGTAAACCCACCAAATGGCTTGGCTAATAACAGCATAAGGAACGTTTGTGCTCATCATTCACATTTAATTGATGTTCATAGTTTATCGTCTGCTTTATTTGTTTTAATTAGTATTTCATTTAGATTAGGTCTTGCTATGTCGATCATGTTGGTTTTCAACTCATAATCCTTCTGCCTTCTCTCCTGCACTGGGACTACATGTATGTGAACCTTGCCTGATACTTTACTGTTTTTAAAGAAAGGACACATAGTTTGAGTGAAGTTTTTGTTCCATTCTCTATTCCATTGCCTTTCCTTTACATACTAGTATGTGACTTTTATTTCTTTAACGTGGATAGATGGCCAGTATAAAGCCATTTTCATGAAATAAGTTTGAAACTAAATCTAGTATTAATGGTGATATGAAGAACCTGAAACATTTGCATTTTGTTGGCAGGGTATAAATTGGTGCCATCATTTTAGATAGGGACGGGACAGTAACCGCTAGGGTTGAAGGTGTATAGGCTCAGTGACCAATGGTTGCATGGCAAGATTGACTTCATTTATTTGTGACAAGAGACAAAAAGACTTAGAAAAGTCTCCCTCAAGGTTCAGTGAATGCTACAGAAGAATGAGACAAGATAAACACTAAGTGAAAGTTAATGAATCAGTGATAATTTAGTAAAATAGTAGAATCGTTGTGTCAAAAAACAGGAAAAAAAGGAGGAGGACGATGAGAAGGAGGTGGAGAAGAAAAAGGAAAAAATAAAAAATAAAATGGGTTTACACTTTGCCATACTAGCTACCAGTGACATGGCAACTACCATTCACAGGTAGCTACGATGATGCAGAAATAGAATAATATTGATAGCCATTATGTGCCTAATGGCTACTTTTGGGGCAGTATTGTAGTTGACTAAATAGCAGTGAAATATCAAAGACAAAGGGCATTTGAGGATTCAGTCAATAAAATAAAGATTGTTGGGAATTCAAGTTAAATCACTGGTGTCTCAAAAAATTCATTTGGATGAGTATAAAACTAATTATAAGGACATAGAAGAAATAAAAAAAACAATCTTACTTGAATATCATTTTAATAAAACTGTTAAAAGAATTTAAGTTAACTGAAAAAGAATTTAAATTAAACCCTTCCTGGGTGTTTCTTGGCATAATTGTTGTTAATTTTCTTAGGTGTAATCATTGTATTATGATTAACTTTTTAACTTTCCAGTGCTCTGTGTTTTATAAATGAAGTAAAATACTTGTGAGTGAAGAAATATGAAACTATCAGAAACTGGCTTCAAAACAAGAAGAGAGAAAGATGTGAGAGGTACTGCTGAAACGTGATTGATCAAGAGCTAATACTGCTGAAGCTGAGGGGTGGTTTGATTATGCGACTCTGCTATATGTTTGATGCTATTCAAAATTCAAGCTTAAAACTATGAATGGTATTTTTTGGAGTCTTAGGACAGGAAAGAGCTGTAGTTTTCATCCTCTTAAGGGTTCTATTCATATATCTTTAGAAGAATGAGAGATTCACCATTTCTCTGAAAAATGGTCAGAAGGCCTTCTGACTTAATGGCATGGGACAATGATTAAGTCCTCAAGTTTATGTTATGATAATCACATAACCACGCCATGAGCCAACCTCTATTTGACACTGGGTATTATAACAATATCCCTTTCTTTTGTACACTATAATACTTGGGGTTTCTACATGTTCAGACCAAACATCTGAATCTTATTTTGTGCTTACACTTATTATTGAAACTTTCATTTCAGAGTCAGTGTTCCTGCAGATGGAGAATGGAGTAGAGCTGATGTGACCTTGTGCAGGGGTGGTAGAAATGAAGGTGAATTACTCACGATGAGCCATTCAGTGCTTCTGGGTCTCTTCATAGATTTTACGCTGGGCCAATGAACTAAATGGTCTTGCAGTTTTGTACTGGATTTAAAGATTGCCATAATTGTTCCCTACATTTATTATCAATTGCCTTCTCCAAATGTGGAAGAGCTTTTCAAAAATCTATTTCTCCTCTAATAAATTTGAAATATCAGATTGGGGAGACAAATACTTTGGACTTGGCAAGGTTTGATATTCACAAATCTTTCTCCTTATTGCTTATGATTTCACCATCTCTCTAAATGTTTACAGATTTTCCTCTCTTCAAATTGTTTCATTATTGGACAGTAATTTCTGGGATCTTGCTGCAAAGATTGATTCCATATTTGCCCTCTTTCCTGTCATTGTCCTCTACCTTGCCTGTTTTTCCTGAGGCTTACAGAATAATTATGATCAGCCCAGGCAAAATACAAACTTATTTCTTTATAACTCTGCAAGAGAAATCATTTTCTACATCTCCAGAATCACTATGCAAATGGCTAAGGTGCTTTTGGTCCAGACTGAGATACTTCTTGATTCTTACTTTTGGAGGACTGGATTATCAGCATTTATTGATTTTCTCACATTGTATGATAGCGGAAGAATGCGCTTAGCAGTGATTCTTGTACCCAGACTTACAGATGTGGTGTTAGTAATGTGAGCCAAGTCCAGGGCTAACTACCAAGCCTTAGGTGATACAGAAGATTCTTAAGAGGTTGGAGCTATTGTTGCTAGGTGGGATCTTATCCACATGTGTGGCATAGTCTAGTTATATGAGAAATTTAGGTGGGTTGGTAGGGAGGCATATCTATTTCTGACATCTTTAGAGAATTTATTTTATTTTATTTGTTCTAAATGGTCTTAAAGGGAG